TCAATAACAATGCTTCTCACCTCCTTGCTGCTTTCCCGAGGCTCTTAACCTTACTCTTCTTTGAAAGATTTCTGTTGTTGTTTATAAGACTGATTTGAACTCCTCTCTGTGAGGATGTTAATAGATATCGAAAGCTTCTTGTCCTTGGCAGTAAATTTTTCATTGGCTCTGAATGCTGGACTTGCCAAGACACGGACCCCCGAGGGCTGCCTCAAGTGTTTGGTTTGCAGATTTTCTTTGCACTCTCGATTTGAAGGCAGACTGCCTTCCCCACTTAAACCAGATACGTAAATTTTCTCATTTCTCTCAAATACAGACATAAAGCTTACCTCCTTCCACTAAAAGGATGTCAATGCAAAATCCAAAGGAAAGAGAATACATATCCAGGAGAGTTATTGCAAGTCTTTTAAGAAAGCTCTACTCGATTACCCAGTAGGTATTTTTCACTTGAACTCTTGTCTCATGCACTTCTGCACAGAACTAGCTCCCACTGCTGTACAGTCACTTCCCTGATTTTAAATGTTACATTTTGAAAATGGTCTCCAGAATCCCAGAAATGTGTGGTTTGACACCCACTGGCAACTGCACAAGCAGTGGATGGAACAAGCCGGCCTCTTCTATGATTTTGCCACACTCGAACTCGTAAAAACAATTACATGGAGATAAACTCAATCTGTTTGAGACAAAGAAGCTCAACTAAGAAGTATGTCAGATTAGACCCGTGCTAAATCTTCACAGAGGAAGACTCAGGCATCTAGCAATTCCCCTCTTGGGGTTCCCACAATGGAGTTAAGAAATTAGGGATTTTTTTCCAAGGTCTCAAGCAGTACGTGATTATGTAAGGTTTGATTTGCTATAATTACTGTTTTATGTAGGGCATCAGGAAAGTGTTAGGCTTTGTGAGGCTTTGGCATAGGGTTTTATTTTAGAAAAAAAATTTAAAAAGTAATCAATAGTAGGAAATGTTTCTGGTAAGAGTTCAAAACTCTCCCTTTGTTCCTTGAAAAGTTTTTTCCATTCTGTCTTGAATTTCTTTCGCTTTTAAGTTGGAAGAAACCACATGCACACGCACACACACACACCTTTCCTTTATGGTTTATTGTAACACAAAGCATTCAGCTCCCTTTCTCATCTACTTGAAGTCAGGCAACTCCAAAGCAACAAAAAGTCAAAACTACAGGTATAGGCCCCTACTTGTCTTTACCCTTCTTGAATGTGTTGAAGAAAATAAAACATCACACAAAGTGGGTTATCACTTATCAGGCTATTGAGCCCCCTGCAACGGAGGTCTTTAGTCTTCCCCACACTCACGAGTAATGAGTTACCCGAGAGAAAATGCAATGGGGAAACGGCTTTCGCCTTCCAGTCACAGGTCCCCCTTCACACCTTTGCTGTAGGAGACGAATTGATCAGGGGACTAGAGACAAGGTCGGAAACAGGCAGTTTAAATAAATGAGGGCATTTTAGAGCACTCCAGACTTCAAAGAGCTGACACGTAGTAGTAGGTGGGAAAAGAGGGGGTTTAAATAGCCCGGGCTTTTTACTGCCTTGGGCAAGACAAGGACTGGGTTTCTGAAAAGAGAGGTGAGCAATTGCTGACGACTGATAGCTCTTAATAGCTTGTTAATTCAGAATTTCGGGGACAACTGCTGGGATGCCCTCAGGAGCTAAAGGTAGATCGAGGTGACCTAGGAAAAGCGGGAGGTGGGGGGCGAGAGGCTGAGTCCGGCCAGGGCAGGCTGACCTGCCCAGCGGCCGTGGGCAGAGGGGAGGCTCGGCTGTGCTCTTGATCCGCCGAGTTCCCTACGATTTCTTGGAAGTCGCTGCCCTGGGTCTGTGCTTACACAGGAGCAGTGAATCAGAAAGCTACGAAACATGATCCCCGATAACGTAACTGATCTGCCAGCGGTCAGGTATTTTGGCTTTTGTTCCGTGCCAAGTGATAAGGAAAAGGTTTCAATCACACTTAGCACTGCGGAGACACAAATACTAGGCTGCTGTTTTCTCCCTCATCAAGATGGGACCTGTCCTTTTATCTGCAGCAATGGTTTAGGACTGTTCCCATTTGACACTCTCGAGTACTGTATGCACAAGCCTCACCTCCAACGTTTCATGGGCTTGCTAATGGGAAACTGTTCAGAAACGGAAGGGAGGGAGTTTGGTCCCATGCCCCATGAAGCAAAGCGTCATTTAGGAAGGGCGCCAGGGGTGATGCCCGAACACCACGTTGCCTAACTCCAGCAGCAGCAGCAGCAGGCGGGTGTCCAGGTGTCTGAGTAAGTGTCTCTGGGGCGGGAACAATGCCATCGCACAAGCCTCTCCCCGTGTTTCCTCCTTAAGACTCAGGCAGAAATAACCTCCCGCATTTGACAGATAGCCCAGGCCGTTCGACTTCCCTGTGTGGATGCTAAAAGGTAGTTTGAGAGCGAGAAGGAGGGAGAGAAAGGACATGCTGGCTAGTCCCAACATAAGAGGAGCCGTGGGAAGGACAATGTGAATCCATGGTGGCTAATTTGCAGAGAAGGAATGAGGGGGCTGCAGTTCTGGCAGGCTTCAAGCTCTCCCGTGTTGCCATAGCGCTGCTGGCTGAGGAAGAAGAGCGGGGGCTGGCAGGCTGCCTTCTGGAGGGAATCTCCTCAACTCTCGCTTCTCCTCGGGAACGACTCCACGGCATCCCGTCCTCCTGGTCGCAAGGACATCCCAAAGGGACAGATAGCACGGGAATCCAGAGGGGGAGGCAGGGTATTCCCCCTCAGAAATAACGAAAGCTTTTTCACAGCTCACTCCCTGTTCCTTCCGTCCTCCCCGCCATGCCCTACACAGTGACAGAGATGTCAGCCTTTGGGGAAGGAGCTGAAGTTCTCTCGTGGTCACAGAGTCAGCCCACACCTGGACTAGGCTAAATCCAGACTCCTTAAAACATAGATGTGCAACGGGTCTGGATGACCAGGGCAAAAACCTTCTTTGTGCTCTCTCACATTTAACATTCTCCATAATAAAATAAACTCCAACTACTAACCAACTAACCAACTACTCCCTTTCTACTTCTAAGGCTCAGTGATGGGTTGGAGACAATTCTTTTGAAAGACAAAAAAAAGCATGATGCGGGATTCCTACTCCGCTGCTACAAACGCTGGAGTGAGCACAACTCGTTGGCCAGCTGTGTGACCAGAGTAACTAACCTGGTACATGCACCACCACGTCACTGGATGCCAGAGTCCCGCTGTATTACCTTTCAGCCTCGGAATTATTTATTATTCTAACCATTGTCAAACCTCTCCTCCCCACGGCTGTCTCTACAGGTACACTGGACTGGAAGTTCAGAGGAAATGCCATTCTAAAGAAGGAAAGTCCACACACACACACACTTGCTATTGCTGTGGCCGAGAAGATGTCTATTTATATAGCTATCCCTGAATGTAACTCAGACACCTAGAGACTAACCCTCGGGGCCCGTTAGGAATCCCGGTTCGTGGAAGGACAGACAGCCGGACAGTGCCAGATTGCAAGCAGTCCTAGCACTCTATTCACGGCCATGAATACGTATCAGACTGATTGCCAAATAGACCCCACAATGATATATGGACCCGTTTAGCCATGTTTAAAGTAATAAGCATTCCTGAAGACGGTTGCTAAGAGCAACGTGACTTAAGCACCACCTTTAGACCAGATGGAAGCAGAAAAAAAAAGTGCTGCTAGGAATTCAGCACACGGGATGGATAACAGCCTGGTTACTTTTTAATCATTACTCACCTTCCCCTCCATATAAAACTGTGTGCGGGGGTGCTGATTTAAATAAGATCTATCTAAAATAGGCACAAATCAAGTCACTACTCGCAGGCAAAGGCAAGAGCTTTCAGTGTCCCACAGAAATGAATGTAGCGGCTACAACAGTTTATCATGACTGAGGGAGCCGCACTTCCTCCCTCCAGCTATGCTGTCGGCAGTCACAGAGGATGCCGCTTGTCTAGGAAAGCAACTTTCGGCCTGTTCCCTCCGCCACCCTCCCCGCCGCGGCTCGCCTGCAGTGCTCGGGCGACCAGGAGGACGCTGATGCGGGGCTCCTGTCGTGGCTCACCCCGGACTAGCGTCGGATGACTTTCCCTGGCCGCACAGCCCCCCTCGGACCTGCGGGTAACTTTCCGTCCTATCCTTCCTCACTGCAAAACTTCTGTAGGGCATGCAGCGGTTGGAATTTCTCCCTCGCTCGCTTGCTTATACACACGTACACACGCGCGCATGCACAGGCAGAGCTCTTATGGTTAGTGCCACGGTCCAGCCGGGCTAGTCTTTAAATTGTAAACCCGCTCTGCTCTCCTTGAAATTTCATTCTGATCTACTTTTTTTTTTTTTCCCCGGGAGAGAGGGTAAATCATGCAACTTTCCGCGCATAGAAATGCTGTGCTTTTGAAAGGTACCGTAAAAGCTCTTTCACGACCACTGCTCAAGACATAAATCATCTCTTCTCTGACCCTAAACGCCACTCAAGTGTCAAGCAAGTAGACAGACGCTTCAAGGGAAATCAGCCCAAAGGGCTCAATTCACAGCCTTGCGCCCGCACGGGATCGGCTCGGGGGGATCAGAGACGGGCGGCCGAAACTTAACAACTAGTTGACAGGTTTTTAACTGATCAAGTACATCAAGCATCGTATTAGCCATGCTTTCCCCTACTGTGGAAACAATAAAGGAAAACAATGGAAACAATTGCGAGGAAGCCATGCAAGCTGCGCAGAGCCTTAGGCAACCGCGTTTGCCAGTCATTTTTGTATTGTTATTATAATTATCATCATCATCGTGCCGTTACTAGGGCTACAATGAGCTGCAACGACAGAAAACAACACACAGCAATTCATCCCTCCGGATGCAAAATAGAGAGGGACTTCTGTGCCCGACTCCGGTAGCACGTCCCAGCTCTCCCCCAGCATCCCCTTCTGAGTCAATCCTACGTAAATCACATTCAGGCTTAAATGAACAATGAAAAAAGTGTCGGGAAATCTTACCAAATCTTAATACATGTGTGGTTCCTTGAGAATATCCAATCCACAGTAACCAAAGAAGGAATCTAACGGTGCATCTGAAGACTGAATTAGTTACAACAGGGGAAATAATCTTCATGATGTTTCTATGCACACACGCGCTGCCTTACTTCCCCCTTCTAAGCCGTCAGGTTTCCCGGTAGGGTGAGAATGAGGATACGTAAACTGATGGCCCTCAGACACGATCACGGCATGGTCACAGAGAGAGGAGAGAGTCTACGCTTCCCAAACCCATTAGCAATCCCTGCATGTTCTTCATTCACTGCGCCAAGGAGCAACCTTCAGCTGCAAGGAATGGTGGGACATCCATGTTAGTCGGGGGAGAATCCTTGAGAAATCCAAACACACACAGTGTCCAGCTGAGTAAACCTGGGAGGCAAGAAAGGAGGAAAATCAATAGGTAATCCAGCTCGAGAAATCGCTGAGGCATCGCCACATAGCGAGCACCAGCCGTTTCACTGGCGAAGCTTTTGCCGTGCTTCCATTCTACTGCACTGCTACACAGCTTCTGACGCGAAGCCAAGATTAAGTGAGAGAAATTGAGATAGCTCTTCTCTGCTTAAGGCTGCCTGCCAGACAGCCTTCCCAATTTCTATTATGCAACCGATCTGATCGCCTGGCGTTGTTGAAGGAAAAAATCAGCTCGGTTTTATTCACATGCTTCTAATTGTTATTAGTATTTCAGTTGTTCTGAACAATATCTATAAGGGGTGGGGGGTGTGCTACAGGGGAGAGGGGAATCGTTTGTGCAAAAATCAATTCATGCATTTTAATAGCTGACTGCCTGGGTCGAAATCACTTATCTTTAGAGTTGTGAAAGAGAAGGCTGACAACAAAGTCATGCAGGTTATCAGAGTAACATTCCGGCTTAAAAAAAAAATCATGATATTTACATTCACTAACTGTTACTCATGTTAATGTATGAAGTAGGATAAATGCAATGGCTTGTATACTGATCGTCCTTAGGAACTTGCTCCAGAAACAATGATTACAGAGCACCAGCCTGATTTTGCAAGGTAAACAGAAATCGGCAGTACTGGAACAACCTTGTTGAATGCAAAGACCTGTTTCGCTAAACTTAGTAGAATTGCAATGTTTCTTAACAGACAGTAACTTGGGGATTTAGTAGTTTATGATTTTTACTTTATTCTGCCACTCTCATTTGCACTCTGCTTTCCTTTCACTCTACTATTATGGAAATGTTGCTGTACCTCCCTGTACTGAGAGATCTATGTAGTTTGTCATTTGGAGTCCTCAGTGAGAACAATAACACTTGCCAGTTTGATAATGGAATACTGAGTTTATATCTTCAAATGCAGTCACAGACTTTGTCTTTTGACCAGGTGTCTCAAAGAAGATAAACTCATTCTGTGGACTACTTCAGATTTTCCTTGGAAATACAATTAGTTGTGTGCCTGAATCCATTGAAATACATTGAATTGGGACTGTCAGGTTTTGCAATTTAAGTGAAGCTCTTGCTGAACCTACTTAAGCTTTATTACAAACACTAAAAGATAATTTCTATATTTCCCACCAGGAAAATGAATTGATTTTATTCTACATTCTGCCTACAGACATCTTTTGTCTCCTTTATCTCCCTCCCTGCCTTTTATTACTAAAGAAAATATCACTGCGAGACTTCCCCCACAGGTACATACAGATGAACACAGAATAAACCTAACTTTACAGAAATAAATACCGATGATACCAAGCTAATGAGAACACTCTGAGGAAACTATCAGAAGCAGAGCATGGCAGAGGTGAGTTACAGTTTGTTCTTAAATAACATCCATGTGTTGTAGACATGTAAATAAGTAACAGCAGCATTTAATTATAACATGTAGTGTTGGTGCTCTGCATCCTTAAAAGTGTTAGCAATTCAGAGTAACTTTTTATTATCTTGCATTACTGATTTCCTCTGCACACTTTTAGTTGAAACACTGTAAAACGCTGATGAAAAAAAAAGTACGTTCTGTGAGGGGATTATTAAACATCATTGATTTTTTTTTCCTTAAGATGGAGGCATAACTGCAGTGTCAAAAATAACTATCACGAATGGCTAGTTCTGCAGTCTAGCAGGGAATTCAATCAGACGATTTGACTACTGGAGCACTTTAAAAAGAACACCTGGTGTTAAAAGCAAGGATATCTAGCGACTCCTTCAGTTCACACTTAGAATATCTCCCAGTTAAAACGCAGAGAGATTCTTCTGTTTTCTGTTTCATTTATTCTCTTCTACTCGTTTATATTTTATCTTAGTCGGAGGAAAAATAAAACCGACCCACGCGAATACTATGAAAGTTCTTTGCCTCCCTCCCTGGTGTTGTTGAAATAAAGGACATTAGACATCTTTAGATATGTTTGTAATTGTGAATGCTCAGATGCAGCTTGCTGCCTAACCGAATTTTTACTTATTTATTTCATTTAGTTTTGGTAAGTAGTTTTGAAAATATAATATTCATGGTCAACTTTAGCCCATTAAACAAGAGATAAACTTTGGGAAAAGTCACTGCTGTTATCAGTCTGATTTTCTAAGGACTCAAAAAAAATACAGCTACCTGTAATCTCAGCACAACAGAGCTCCTAACTCACTGAGGTGTTTAGAATTTGAATCATAAAATAACTTGTGGTTAATTCCTGTTACTACTAAACACTCAGCAGCCCACGCTGCAGCCCCTGGTCTCACGCCTGAGGCTCACACCGGGTTTCCTTCCCCCCGCGCCAGCATCCCCCGCCGCCGGCTGCGGCCTCAGCACCACGGACAGCGCCCGGCGCAGCCCCGGTGGCCCCTTCAGCACCGCGGAGAGCACTCCTGGTCGCCACCGCCCCTGCTCCAGGTGTCAAAACGCCTTTTCTGTCATCCTTTCCAGTCATTTCACGGTATGGAAAGAAAATTAAAATTTGTTATCTGCTTCTTTAAAGACATATATTATATCCTCGATTATGTTAGCTAGCCAGCTATTTTGTGGCATTTTATGTGTTCTGAAGGAGTACCACTCTCCTTATCTGCTATCACACATCACCTAATGCTCTGGATTAACATCCTTTCCCATTTCTTTCAAACCGTAGCTACCACCGTGAGGAAAAGTCGTAGTTAACTCAGAAATATTTCCTCAAGAATATCAGTTCGTTATATACAAAAAGTAAATCTTGGGAGACATCAGATGTTTAGAACTCACTATATTTGGTGACTGAAGATCACTTATAGACTATCTAATTAACTCAAGCCTCAATCTTCACCACCCTAAACTCCGTTTCTGTTAATTGGAGTTTAACTTCACTTCTTCGGGAAAGGGAAAAGAAAGGGAACCCTTTAAAAAGATACCTTTGTGCACACTCCAGAATGATTTCAATATTAAAACAGGTAAAGGTTCTTAGTGTCTTTCATATTTCTTCCTCTGTGATATGCACAGTTCAAAGGCTGCAAATCCCTAATAAAATGTCATGGATAAGCTGGTCTTGTGTTTTGGGAGCTTGTCACCAGTGTTACACAGCTCTTTTCATATTAAAGTCTATATGAAACTGCCCTCCACACTTCAGTGATCTGCAACAGGGAAATCTACAATTCCTTGGATATATGTTTTGATTTGTTTGGTCATCTATCTTATACATGCTGGTAACACATCTCTAATACACAAGGACATCTTTAATACACAAGGACAATGTTCAAGTGCAGCTGATATGAAAAATAGTAATCCAGCTACAGGCAGGGAAAGAAGAACAGACAATCTGAGGCCTTTACGTCTTTTCTGGTTAATAAAAACCTGCTGCACTTTTAGCTGTGTGTCAAGTATAAATGGTGTATATTATGTACATAATGTTTCATTTGGAAAGGGGAGATATGTGATTCTGATTGCCTTATTATATCAGGCGTTTTCCCCATCAGATCTTATTTTTATGTGCTGTTATCACTATAAAAGTTAACCAGTTCCAGCTAGCTGCCACCTACTGGGATGTATAGTTTTATCATATTACTTTGAAAAGGAATGGGCTTTTATTTTCAGGCCATAGCTGTGTCTCTAAGAACCGATAATGAGGTTTTTATGTCACTTAATCTATTATTTTGACCCCTCCCAACAACAACCGATATAAATTTAGTATATGTATAACATACGGTCCCCTAAATGTTTCTTGGACATTTTTTTGGCAAATCCTTGCAAACGTTTCAGGTGCACATGCCACTACAGTCCTCCTGCAATCTGGTGTGAGGAGAGCCACAGCTTCCCGCAACACCTAACCAGCATCTCCAGATCTCTAAAAACAAGAATTGCAGCTTTGCTGACAAAGCAGTAACACAGTCCTCCCTTTTGAAATGTTTACCAAAGTATTCAAATTAATGTTGATATTATCTTTTAAAAACACATTGTGGCCCACTGGCATTTCACTCCCACTAGCTATAACAAAACCATAGGTCCTTCTCTGTTTGTTATTATCTCAGTCCAAATTTACAACAAGTTTCTGCTGCACCAATGATTAGTGACATTTTAAGATAGTAATTAATTTTTAGCTAGTGGAAAGACATGTATTCTAATTAATGAACTGAGTATGCAATAGACTTACTTTTTCAGGCACTTTTGATTATCACAGGAATGCACTTTCCTAGCAAGTTTTAAGGAGCAAGAACAAATATTTATGACATTATCTACATATTAGTGTTTGGTCCCTTCAGCTTGTTTTGGGGTTGGGGAAGCTGTACAAGATTTTGGGAGTAAAATTATGATGTTTAATGTTTTTCTTGCTCTACTCCCCCAAAAGTTTCCAAGGAAAACGTGAAGAGACGTTTTCATTACAATGTATTCACTCCTTCTCTCGGTGCGCACACGGCTCTTGCAATCATGCCTCCACTCCGTAGGCAAGAATGTCTTGCTTTCCACAGAGTGTCAGCGCCCTGGCTAGGTTAGCGACGGATGCTCATCCAAAGAATGCTGATTTTATTCAGAAATAAATAACAGGGTTGCCGACAAGCTGAAAGGGGGACTGGCTGCGTCGTACGGTGGGGGCAGGAGGAGACCTCACGGAAGTAGAGACTGTTGTCCACTCACAACTCTAGCGAAGTTAGAGCCCGTTTCTCACCTCCTCTCCCCGAGGAGAGTGGGGGCACATCCTCGGTGCTACCGGCTCGGCCTCCCTGAGCCCGTCTCGGGAGCAGCCCTCCGGCTGTGGGAGGGAGTTCCGGGCTACCGCGGGCACTGGGCGGTGTGCATCGCGGGGCTGCGCTGTCCTGGCCTCTCGCCCCCCTTCCCACACCTCCACTTCCAGCATGGGGACATCGGTGGCTTTGACGGTGTGGAACAGCGGTGGGAGGAAGAGAGGAAGACGACAGGTTTGCCTACCGGGCGGCAGCAGCGCTTAGGTATTCCAGCTCAGCGCCCGCCTTTGCCCTGAGACACCTGGCCAAGAGCCATCGTGTAGCTCTCGGCACAACGCGGCCACGGTATATCCCCTCCGCCCCCCTCCCCCTGCCGAAGCCCCTCACTTGCATGCAACCCCTCCGGCCGTGGCGGACAGCCGGAGACCCCGGGACATCCTCCTACCTTGAGCTGCGGGATGGGAATCGGGGAGGGAGAGGAAGGCGGAGGCAGGGGAGGAAGGGCGGTGGCAGGACGCCGAGGACAGCCCGGGCTGCTGTGCAGCCGGTGTCCGGGCACCACTGACGGCGGCGGCAAGCGGCGCCCG